TGCCCCCCCCCCCCCTCCTCAGGCTGGTACAACAATTCCTTTTGCAGCCCTTTTCCAGGAGCCCCTAAACTCCGCTGGAGGTGTTTGGGGCGGGTTCTGGGGGTGCAGATTTCACCCGTTAGGGTGGCACCGGGGTCTTGCCGCAGCCGAAACCTCAGTGAGAAGGGTGCCAACCACCAGCTCGCCGGCCCCAAAGCCTTCTCCAACCCAGAGAACCCCCAGAGCCAAGGCGTTTCCCAGCAGAGGCCGGACCCTGTTACAGGTTGACTTTCCAGTTGCCCATGGGAGAGGCCACCAAATCCAGGTCCCCATCCAGCCCCAGGAGGAGGAGGAGGATCCTCTGGAGCAGGGCACAGCGCCTCGCTCCTCTCCTCCTCCAGCCACTTGCCCACCTCGCTCGGTCGCCCGGGGTGTGTCGGGCAGCCCGGTGGGGGACCCCCCAGTTGATGGGGGTGACGGGACCGAGGAGGGGTACTCGGAAAAAGTTGGGAGGCCGGGAAGCGGGGCCGGCTGGGAGGCGGCGCAGGCCAATGGGAAGCGCAGAGCATGATGTCACCGCGCTCATCACAGCATGGCTCTGGCTAACAAAGAGAACAATGAGGCTGCCCAGCTCCCCGCTTCCCCCAGGATAAAAAAGGCCCCCATCGACCCCCCCACAAGCCTGCAGCCCCCTGTCCGAGGGGGGGGGGAGAACAAGGCTGGGGGTGCCAAAGCCCTGGGTGGCAAAACCCCCCCAGAGGTCAGGCTCCCTACGAGCCCAACCATCAGGATCCCAGCGGGCACCGGCAGCTCCCTTCCGCTTTATTTTTTGTGTATATATAGCCGGGGACGCGGCTTCGCGACGGACACAGGGCCCGGCAGCTCGGCGGGGTTTGGGGATGGCGGCTTTATTAGTCCCTGTAACCCTGCCGTGATTTGGGCCCAAACCGGGACAAAGCCCAGCCGTGCCGGCAGCCCCGACCCTGGGGAGCAGGAGACAGCAGGGAGGGCTTGGATGGACGTGGCTCTTCCCAGGAGGATGCTGTGCCCATCCCGGTACCGGGGAAGGATGCTGTGGTCCCTACCTGTCCTTTGGGGTCTATCAGCAGCAGCTCTCTCCTCCCTCAACAACCCAGACCCCTTTTCCCAGGTGTGCGCGGGCGGGATGGGGGCTGCTGAGAGGAGGTTTTGGGTGAAGGTCGCTGTGGTCAGATTTTTGGCTTGTGTGCCCCAAGTCCACACCGGAGCAGCCTGGCCGCCTGCTTCGAGCAGTGTCTCAGGGCAAGTCAGGCACTTATCATCCCTTCCCTGGTGGTGTCCCTGACGCTCTTCAGGAAGGTGAAGATGTGGGACCCGCCGGTGCCTTTGGTCTCCAGCGCAGTCGGGGGCTTCCCCGCGGAGGGACCGGCCCCGTGGCTCGGCTCTGCCCGCCCGGCCTTGGCTTTGGCTGCCGCGACGCTGATGTACTTGGTGACGATGGTGATGTGGTAGGACCTGAGTTCTGCCAGCGCAGACACGCACTGGTTGAAGGCCGCACGGAGCCGCGCGTCGCCCGAGGAGAGAAGGTGCTGCTTGAGGGAGGGGGCACGGCCGATCTCCTCCACAAAGGCTCTGTGGGGTGGGGGCATGTAGTCCCTCATCCTGTGCAGGAAGGCGGCTGCAAGACACCAGCAAAGGAAGAAATAAGTTGGGGGGGAGTGGGTTAAAGCAGCCTAAAGCTCTCAGAGACAGAGCACTGGTCAGCAGGGACCATGGCGCTGGGTGGTACCATCAGCCTGAGCAGCCTCCTGCCTCCCCTCTGCTGTCTCCTGCCTCTGATTAATTGGGAGAGAAAACCCATATTAGGGCAATGCTCTGAAAGGGTTGGTCTTAACCCTAAAAGGCAGGTTTTAGCCCTTGCTCTCAGTCTTTTGGTTTCAGCTGTTTGGGTTTTGGTTGGGTTTTTTTTGCTAATTTCTGATAAATGCACGCTGTTGTGGGCCAGCCTGAGGTGAAGCTGTGGGAGGGGGTGAGCCAAGTCACTGGCAGGACGCTGGGGCACTCTGGTCCCATCTATAACCTCAGTAAAAAGTTGACATGCAAAAAGCAAAGTCTGTTCTTCTGGGAATTTATAGTGCTGAGGAAGTGCCTGCCAGAGCCTCGTTTATGGACTTCCTCCCTAACGAACTGGGCAGAGCCTCCTCCCGGCCGGGCTCCAGGAGGGCTCTGTGAGGGGCAGACGGGCACGTGTCCCATGGACGGGATCCGTGGGGATCACTCTGGCTCAATTCTTCCCTCGCCCCTCATTTGCTTGGGAAAAAGGAAAAGCATGTGACGTACTGCTGTCCTTGCTGTGCCGAATGCCCAGGAGCTCGTCGAACGCGTGGAGGACGGTGCTCTGCGCCGCGCTCCCTCCCGAGAACGCCATGGGCTCCTCGGAGACCCCCTCGTACACCAGCCCCTGCGGCATGGCCGGGTTGTCCTTCCAGCTGGGGGGAGAGACACAGCGGTCAGGGGGTGGTTGGTAGCAGGGGGGCTGTGAGGAGGGACCCTCTGGGCTGGCAACACTGAGTGAGACCTTCCTGACCCGGCCCATGGATCTCCTCCTCGCTCAGCCCTGTCAGCTGCCCTCAAATGAGAGATAAAACTTGGAAATCAAACACTGCGTTGAGGTGCAGGACAAGGGTGGAGGGAGAAATCCTGAATTCTCCTTTGCCAACGAGCTGGGGGGGTTCTGTGGGATTGGGGGAGCTCCCCACGGCACCTCCATCCCCAGCTGGGTCCTGGCTCGTGGTGGTTTGCACCCACAGCTTCGGGTGTGAGAGAGGGGATGGGTCCCTTGTCTGGGAAAAGCAATACAGCAGCATCTAATGTACTAATTCCTTGAAATCCTGGTGGCCATTAGGAGAAATCAGGTTGCCTCCATGGCAGATAGAGTTGCCCAAACGCTTTCCTGACCCCTTGCATTTTACACTTTGGATTTTTGTCTGGTCTTGCTACTCTTGACATGACGCCTGCGAAGCCGGCGCAGGACAGCCTGCCTGTGCTTATCTCAGCAGAGAACCAGCCCGTAATGTGATTTCCTCCCTCTCATGAAGCTGCTCGTCCCCAGCGCGCCCAGGAACGCGGCGGTGCCTCCCCCCGCCACGCACCATTAACTCCCAGCCCCTCTCATCCGGCTTCACCCGCCTGTTGGGCAAAAATGGATAAATGCTCGCTCACAAACGGAAAGAGGACTTGTAATTTCAGAGAGATAATGTGCCTGGCACAAAAATATCTCTTGACCTTCTGAAGAATGCCCCATTTCATGAAGGTTTCGGTGCTGGCTGCTGGGGCCGTTTTACTGCTTTTGCACAAAATGCAGAGAAAATAGATTCATTATCAAATACCGTAATATTTTTAGCTCTCCCAGGGATGTATTTATAGTAACCTTTACTAGTGGGAAGTTGTTATGACAGGTGCTTGGGGGGGGCAGCACAGAGAGTAAAACCTTTGTCCTTTCTCCCACATTTTTCCCCCGGTTCTTCAGCTCCTGCTCCACAAAGTGTCCTCTGCTGCTCCTCAGCAGCGACCGTCACACAGCCCCAGAGCGGGTTGGGTGGGAATGGACCTCAAAGCCCCCCCAGTGCCACCCCCTGCCCTGGGCAGGGACACCTCCCACCACACCAGGTTGCTCCAAGCCCCCTCCAACCTGCCCTTGAACCCCTCCAGGGATGGGGCAGCCACAGCTTCTCTGCCCAACCTGGGCCAGGCTCTCACCACCCTCACACCAAACAAGTTCTTCCCCACAGCTCAGCTCCATCTCCCCTCTTGCAGGGTCCAACCCTTCCCCCTCCTCCTAGGGCTCCCCTCCCTCATCCAGAGTCCCTCCCCAGCTTTCCTGGAGCCCCCCTTCTTGAGGGACTGGAAGGGGCTCCAAGGTCTCCCCGGAGCCTTCTCTTCTCCAGGCTGACCCCCCCCAACTCTCTCAGCCCCCCCTCCCAGCAGAGGGGGCCAGCCCTCCCAGCATCTCCAGGGCCTCCTCTGGCCCCGCTCCAACAGCTCCATGTCCTTCTGCTGGTGGTGGCCCCAGAGCTGGAGGCAGCACTGGGGGGGGGTCTCCCCAGAGCGGAGCAGAGGGGCAGAATCCCCCCCTGGCCCTGCTGGCCACGCTGCTGGGGATGCAGCCCAGGGGTGGGGGGTTTCTGGGCTGCCAGCGCACGTTGAGGGGCGTGTGGAGCTTCTCACCCCCCAACACCCCCAGGTCCTTCTGAGGTCGGACGCTCCTGCAAGACTCTGGCAATTTGTTTTCCCCCTAAGTGTTCCCAGCTCGGTTTCATGGAGATCTGTCCGTGCCCACCCGGACCCCTCAGAACTTCCAGAGATCACAGAATGGTCAGAGTTGGACCATTCCAGGGTTGGACGGGACCTTAAAGATCATCTCGTTCCAACCGTGGGCAGGGATGCATCTCCACAAGCGTGGCTCTGGGAATCCTCCCACTTTGGCCTCACCCTCCCCACGCTGGGAGCGGTCGGGAGCACTGGGAGGATCCAACCGTGTTATGGAAACCCTGCGCCTACTTCAGACAGAAGCTTCTCCTCTAGGGACAGACGGGGCAAAGCCAAGTGGATTTGAGCCACCCAAAGTGGCCGTGAGACATCTCCCCCTCTCGCTTCGCTAAATATTTAACCCGGCAAGTTGAAGGAGCTTTATTGAAAGTACTAAAAATAGTGGGGTTTTCATTACTGAAGACAGAAAGGTACAACCCCCCTCTTCTGAGCTTCTCCCATTTCCAGAAAACCTAGAAATGAAAACCTAGAAATGAAAACCTAGAAAACTCTCATTAACGACCAACACCAACTGCTCTGTGCCAACACAGAGGACCATATCTCTATCTGACCCCATCTCAATGGCTCCTCGTGTCCTCGCTGCAGCTCCACCACTGACCACGCTCCTTTTGCCCCCAGGTCAGCACCTCTCAAGCTCCAGGAGAAGCGTTGGACGTGGGGCTTCCACAGTGGCCTCAGGAACGGCCGCGCCGGCTCCGAGCTCTGCAGTTGGTGCCTGCTCTGTACCCAAGAGAGTCCTTTTGGGACATCGCTACGTCACGTCCAACAACACCCAGAGAAAGTGCCAGTTGTTATTTTAAGCGCTTTTGGCAACCCTGGTTTGTAGATGTGATGCCTCTGATCTGTTCCATTTTCGGCAGAACTAGCTCACACTTTCTTCTTAGAGTCTTAATTTCACTCCTGACACCGAGCTGCCTTTGCAGTTTTTAACCTGAGTAATTAGCGGGTCTCGAAGAGACTTGGGTCTCCTGTTAACAGAGAAAAGAGATTAAACAAATGAGGGAAGTTCTTTAGAACAACTCAAAATGCAACCACACAGAGGATCCAAAGCAGGAGAAGGCCCTTGGCTGCTCCCAAGCCCACCCCTCCAGGTGGTTTCCCCGTTTCCCATCGGGACTCATTCACAATCACTTCTGCTGCCTGGAACCATCGGGGAACAAGGAGTCCCTCCCCATCTCTCCTGGAGCCCCCCTTCTTTAGGGACTGGAAGGGGCTCCAAGGTCTTCCCGGAGCCTTCTCTTCTCCAGGCTGAGCCCCCCCAACTCTCTCAGCCCCCCCTCCCAGCAGAGGGGCTCCAGCCCTCCCAGCATCTCCGGGGCCTCCTCTTCCAACAGCTCCATGTCCTTGTGACGTTGGACACTTCAGCTGTGACAGCCTGACACCCCCCACATACAAACTGGTAACAACCACTCTCATTCCAGGCCAAGTGTGCAAAGGCAGAAGTTCCAGCACCTTAGAAGTATCTATTTTAGTCTAGAAAGACCATCCTTCCGTAGATCAACCCCTAAAGAGGGTGAACTCCCCGCCCAAACCACCCCATGGGTTTCCCATTTCCCTAAATCCCAGCCCATCAGCCAAACGTTTATAACGGGATCCAAAGTTTTGGGGCCAAAAAGTACTTTCAGAGCACTTCTGTGGTGGCTCCTCTCTTTCTTCAGGAGATCGAGCCCCGCTTTCCCCACCATTCTCCAAGCACATGCAAACACCACGCAAACCCCACCAGCTTTGAGCTCGGTGCAGGGAAGAACGATAAAAAAAAAGTCCTTACTTGTGTGTGGGAAGGTTGAAGGGAATATTTCAGCACATCAGGAGCTGAATCACCGCACGTAGGTGGAGCCAGACGGATTGACAAGATCTGTAACTTGGAAGAAATGCCCTGAGTCTGGGATCAATCGTCTCAGAAGGAGCGGAGGGAGGGGACGGCAGATGGAGACGGCTCAAGGTGACGAGGCTCAGTGTCAACGTGACACACAAAAACTGCGTTAGAGGCACAGGCTACAACTGAGCAACCATTAATGTGACTCAACAGGGACGATGGCCACCATGTTTTCTGTGACCTCTCAGCATTGTCACCACCATTCTCACAGCCCTCCCTCCCGCAGGACAGGCAGGAGAGAAGGCTCCTTGGGAGAAGCCACCAGCAAATACCTCTTCATGCAGCAGATTAATGAACCTCTGGAGATCATCTCCTCCAACCCCCTGCCAGAGCAGGGTCACCCAGAGCAGGTCCCACAGAAACGTGTCCAGGTGGGGTTTGAATGTCTCCAGAGAAGGAGACTCCACCACCTCCCTGGGCAGCCTCTGCCAGGGCTCTGCCACCTTCAAAGCAAAGAAGTTCCTCCTCATGTTCAGGTGTAACATCTTATGTTCCAGTTTGTGCCCATTTCCTCTTGTCCTGTCCCTGGGCACCACTGAAAAAAGACCAGCCCCATCCTCCTGACACCTCTTCTCTTCTCCAGACTAAACAGACCCAAGTCCCTCAGCCTTTCCTCAGCAGAGAGATGCTCCAGGCCCCTCATCATCTCTGTAGCCTCTGCTGTCCCCTCTCCAGCAGTTCCCTGTCCTTCTGGAACTGGGGAGCCCAGAACTGGTCCCAGTGCTCCAGCTGGGGCCTCCCCAGGGCAGAGCAGAGGGGCAGGATGACCTCCCTCCACCTGCTGCTCACACTCTTCCTGATGCCCCCCAGGATGCCATTGGCCTTCTTGGCCACAAGGGCCCATTGCTGGCTCCTGGCCATCGTGTTGTCCACCAGGACCCCCAGATCTTTCTCCTCAGAGCTGCTCTCCAGCAGGTCACCCCCAACCTGTGCTGGTGCAGGGGGTTATTCCTCCCCAGGTGCAGGACCCTACACTTGCCTTTGGACGCAAATGAACCCAGACTCCTACAGCTCAAGCAGTTCCTGAATCTTGCCACCAGAGACAAACCATTAAGAAGCCATTCATCGCTCCGCTATTCCCAGTTCAACCTCATCTCAAACTATTTCCATCTGTGATTCTGCATGGTAAGAAAAATCCACTAAGTGTCAAGAGATTTATTTCATGGATTAAATACATATTTTCCACACTCGGTAAGTACTATTTATTACCAGCAGTTAGTATTTTATCAGCGTTTATTGATACCGAGCTCAATTGATAAATAATAACCTGAGAATTCCAAGTGCAATTCGC